GAATTCAAACGGAAGGAAGCAATCTGAACCACAAAACGGGGACAAATGGATAATCCGAAGATTTACTAATAGTGAGCAAGGAATTATCTTAACAGTGACTCGTGACTGACTCTCCCTGGACCATTCTCCATCATATTTTTGTTTCTCTTTCCCCTCTGCTCTAGCTTGCCTATGAATGCTGCACCCCCCTGGATGAGAGGCTGTCCCTGGCCTGTCTGCTCGGTGCCTGACACAAAGCAGCCCCTGTTTTGCCTTGAGGTTTCCCTGCCCAGACGCAGTGCAAACAGAGAGGACAGCCGCTGCTGCCGCCGCCGCTGCTGCTCAGCTTTAGGATTTAGAAGGGAGACAGCGAGGAGGCGAAGGAGCCGGGGCGATGGCTGGTCTCAGCCCTGGCGGGGGGGGGGGGGGGATACAGCCCCCCCACGCCGTGACAAAATTACCCTCTGCCACCCAAAATAGCTTTAAATAAAACCTGAGCTGCTGCGAGTGCTGGGGGTGGGGGGGCAGAAGGATCAGCATCTTTATGAACCACCCCCCCCCCCTCCATCCCTGGTCATCAACCAGCCCCGAGGTTGGGATACCCTGCGTGGGGACCCTCAGGCGATGGGGTGAGCCCTGGGGGGGGGGTGGGGGGGGGGTGATGCCCCAGTGGGATCCCCACGCTGGGGAGTCCTGCAGTTGGATTGACCCTCTGGGGATGCGACACACATACACATACACCCCCCCACACCCACACATCCCCCACTCCCCCTCCCGCGGGACCCCGGTGGGGTGGAGTTGGGGCGGGGGGGTGTGTGTGTGTGATGCTGCGGGGCAGTGCCGTGCCGAGCCGAGCCGGGTAGCCCCCCCTTCTCGCTCCCCCCCCCCCCCCCCCCCGAGCTGCGGCGGAGCTGCGTGCGCCGAGCCGGGCGGAGCCGCGCTGAGCCCCGCCGGGCCGGGCCGGGCTGCGGCGGTGCGAGCGGGCGGTGCGGCTCAGCATCCCCCCCCCCCCCAGCTTCCCGTTCCTCCCCCCCTTCCCCTTCCCCCTCCCTCCCTCCTCCTCCTCCTCCAGCCCCCGGTGGCGAGGCGAGGGGCCGCGGCCGCCCCGGCCATGCCCCCCGGAGCCTGAGGCCCGCGGCCGCGGGGGGCCCGCAGCATGCGGAGGATCCGGCGGCTGGTGCATCTGGTGCTGTTCTGCCCCATCTCCAAGGGCTTGCAGGTACCGGGAGGGGGACGGGGAGGCGGGGGATGATGTACCGGGGGGGGGGGGTGGGGGGGGGGGATGATCCGGGCCGGGTGCGGGAGGGCGGCTCGGTGATGCCCGGCTCCGCATCCTGGCACCGGCCGTGCACAAAGGGACGCTCCGCCGCGGGTCCCCCCGCCCCGGCCGCTGCGAAGGGCTGAGGGGGACGGGGACCGGCACCGGGGGGGAGGGGGGGGAACCACCTGGACCCTGGACCGGCACCGGGAGCCGCGGGCGGTTGCATAAGCCGCGCTGCGCTCCGCGGTGCTGGGGGAGCCGTGAAGCACCGGGGCAGCCCGTCCGTCAGCCCGCAGCGCTGGATGAAGCAGCCGATGCAGCAGTGCTGGGCTCTGCTCCCTCTCTTTCTTTATTTTTGATTTTCTTTTTTTTTTTTTTTTTTTTTATCTCCCCGTCTTCCCAGCCCTGAGCTGGCGGGGTGGGGGGCTGAGGACCTGTCTCAGCGCTCCGGGGAGCTGGCGGTGACAGGGCAGGGGATGCTTGGCCTGGGTGTTTTCTCTGCAGCTGTGGGATGAGAAACCCTGAGTCTGGCGAAGGTCCTGGACCAGAGAGGTTGTCCCGCTGGAGGGGAGAAGGGGGGGACACGAGAAGGGGTATCTGGAGGGGAGAAAGGGGGACATGGGAGGGGATATCTGGTGGGGAGAAGCGGGGACACAGGAAGGGATATCTGGAGGGCAGAGTTTGCTGGCAGGAGGTGGGTGCAGAGCTGGGGCAAAGCCCTGGGCTCGCTGGGTGCAGGAAGGGCTGCACGGCCGAGGGGAACATTTAGAGGGGTGGCTCTGTGGGTCCCCAAGACAGCTGAGAGCTGGGTGGGTGCTACAGCTTCGCTCCTGGGGTAGATGGGCCTTTGACTGCTGAGCCACCCCCCCGGGTCGTGTTCTTCTTCCAAGACCAAAGGCCTGAGGAGCAGTTGCGTGAGGCCGCGGACAGGGACTGGGTCTGGCAGGGACGGTGAAGCTGGGTGCAGAGCAAGGGTGGGTGGGTGCTGGGTTGCACCGGGATCATCTACACAGATACCCCACGGGAGGGAGAGTGACAGCCACACCAAACCACCCCTGAGAGCACACCAGCCCTGGCACGGTCCCCACCACGAAACAACCACCCCCCCCCCCCCGCTCCCAGGGTGCTGCAGGGGAACCACGGGGACGGAGGAGGATTTTGTGATGCTGCGTCCATTTTGCCTTTGAAGTCAGCTCCGGCCCAAAGTCACTTCCAGGTCTCCCAGAATCACCCTAAAACTAAACACAGCAACTCACAGGACCCTTTGGCACAGGCTGCCAGCTGAGGCGGTGGGCAGGGGGACAACGGGACCGTGCCTGAAGACTGAGCCCCTGGAAAAAAAGCTGAGCACCAGCTGTGAATCCAAAATACTCCCAGAGCCCGGTGGAACCTCTCGTTGCAATGCATCCCCCACCTCCACGTTTCCACCATTCAGGGGACGATGAAGCCAGCGCTCCCCGTGCTGTGCTCAGGTCACAGTCCTGACCCCCCTTCTGCCCCAGGAATGTGATGGATTCTAGGTCTGAATAAGCCAAAAGGGACATTTGGGCCATACCAGGGCTTTGCCACCCCAAGACATGTCTCTAGTGAGAAGTCCACGGAAAGGGCCCCCTTTGCTGAGTGGGGGGGGGGGGGCCTGATGGGTCACGTCCCCCCCACTGGGCAGTTTTTGAGGGGGCTGCTGCGCTGGGGAGGGTCTCATGGGTCGCAGTGGTGTATGCCTGACTTCAGGGACTTGAGCTGGTTTTCAGCTCACAGGAGCAGCCACCCATCCTTTGTCTTTGCCAAGCCCTTGCCGTGGTTGGGTTCTCGTTAACGGGCGTTAATTAGCGGTGCCATTGCTCGCCGGGCACCGTGGCCTGCCTCACACTTCGGCGCTTCTAATTAACAAGCCAAGTGTTGGGATCTGGAGGCAGACCTGTCTGCAGCCGGGGTGGCAGGAGGGCAGGAGGCTCCACCGCTTCTGGTTACTGCCGCGGGGCAGAGCCCTCACCGCGCTGGGCGAGGGGCCAGGGAGAAGGCATTTTGGAGGTGGGAGCAGTTTTGGGGTACAAGACCCAAGCGAGGATCCCTGGCAGGTTGTAACGGTGCCGCGTCCGCTCGGATCCAGCCCGATCCCAGCAGCCGGTCGTGGTGTTAAAGGCTGATGCAGTGCAGAGAGGGTTTGAGGGTGGCCGCTGGCCCAGGGCTCTCTTGGCCTGGCGTGAGGCAAGAATTATCTATAGAAACCAGAGTGAATGGGGTGTTTGACGCAAGAATTAATTCCCTGCCCTTAGGAACCGCCGGAGATCTGCGCTGTGTATATACAGGTCAGGTAAACAACCTATATTGCGGGGAGGCCAGATGGCAGCAGCGCTGCTGTTGCAGGGTCAAAGGGGAAGAAACGAAGCCAGGAAAACAAAATCACGCCGCGAGCCTTCGAGTTGTTTGCACAGGGTATTGCCCCTGCGCTTCCAGATTCGTTCCTCAGCCGCTCCCACGCGGGAGCTGCTGGTGGCAGCCTCCTGTGTCCGTGGGGCTTTGCGAGGGAGGGGTCTGCCAGGAAGGGTCTCCCCGGGCAGGAGCAGAGCCTCTCGCAGCCCCGATAGCAAAGCCTGGGGTTGCAGAGGGCAGCAGGCTCTGCCCTCACGCTGGCAGGAGAGCGGGTGTACGGGCCTGCGGCTCCCGGGCACGGGGATGCGCTGCATCGCAGCCCACTGCTGTAATCGCCCTGCTTTTAGGGAATTTTAAGTGACCTACTTGTAGCAGGAGTTGCATAATAGACTGGTGAATATATATATATATAAAAAAGGCTGAAGGTTTCCCCGGTGCTCAGGTTGGTTTGTCTAGAAGTTGTCCTTGTCCAGCTGACGACAACCCGTGCAGAGCCCTGCCCTTCACCAGCATTTTCTTTTCCTTCCAGAGTCGCCTCCCGGGCATCAAGGTGAAGTACCTGCTGGTGGTGTGGCTGGGCATCTTCGTGGGCAGCTGGGTGGCATATATGCATTACTCGTCCTACTCTGAGCTCTGCCGCGGCCACGTCTGCCGGATGATAATCGTGAGTGGTGGCCGGCAGCCCCCGCGGCCCTGCTGATCCCGATTCGGGGTGTTTTGTGAGCCCCATTTCCATCCCCCCCGCCCCCAAGCCCTGTGTGGTGCCTGGCAGGCAGCGTCGGGGCAGCATCCTGAGCAAACGCTGGGCTGAGGAGGCGGCTGCTTCCCCGGCCCCGGCATCACACGGAGCTCGGAGCAGGAGAGGTGACCTTATCCTGCCAGGGGGACGGTGAAACAATTTAATGAGATGTTGGAGGGAAGCAGGCCAAGCAGACGTGGGCAGATTAATGTCTGTGGAGATGAAGTTGCAATGTCAGGGCAGCGAGCAGGATCTGCAGGCAGGGAGAGCATCGCGCCAGCCCCTCCCCGAGCTCCGCAGAGCCAGAGAAAAAAGGGGAGCAGCCGGTCCCGGGGTACCTCTGTGTAACTGCTGACGTGCCCTAAAGAAAGCACCACCCTGCACGAGGAGCAGACCCCTCGTGGGAGCTTGGCTTGGTGTGTTTTGCCTCTGCCTGGGGCTTGCAGTGGGGTGCAGCCTGCTCCCCACAGCATCCCCGCTGCTGGCAGCCAAGCGGGGCACCCCCCCCCCCCCCCAGACTGCTGTGTGTGCCTCACAGCAGGGGAGCAGGTCGCCCACCCAGCCCAGGGGAGGGGTGGGGGGGGAACGCCAGGCTCTGTCTGAAAATGCCTCGTTCATCAATCCTTCAGCAGGGAAGGGAGGCAGGAATTGCCATAACAACAGCGACGATCGTTTAATTTGATTTTCTGCATGACTCTGACCACGGGGTCTTGGGCACTAATTCCTGCTCCGAGCTCGGGGTTTAAGATGCCGTGTCTGGCTGTGTCCCCTGTGAGCAGGTCTAAGGGTTAATTCCCCTCCAAGCTGGGGGGAAAAAAAAAAAAAAAGAGGGAAGAGATGCAGTGAATTTCTGCAGCTCCTGTTTCCAGCCCTGAGGCGGTTGTGCCCTCGCTGAGAAGCTGCAGAGCTGCAGCCTCTCCTGCCCGGGGACACTTCCAGCTCCTAACCCGACCTCCCCGCTTGCGGCTCAAATCCACCCTCCGTCCCTGTCCCTGTCCCCGCCACTGCCTGGACCCGGGCCAGCCCTTGCCACTGAGCAGCCTGAGCCCGTGCATCCTCATCCTCGCCCAGCTCCACGCTGCCCTCTCCTCCAGCCCTGGACTCTCCCCTCACCCCCTGGATTTGCAGCAGCAGCACCCAGCAGCGTGGGGGGACCCTGCCAGCCCAGCCCCACCTTGCCCAAAGCACCGAGCCTCCCCAAAGGGTGTGAGCTCTGCCCACAGCTGCTGCCCATTTGGCCAGGGCTCAGCCCCCCGCGTGCCTACACGCTCCTCTTTCCATGTCTCCCCCATTAAAGTCCTTGCACTGGGGCCAGTAGACGCCTTTAGATCTCAGAACAGAGATTTAAGGCTGGGATTTCTTTGGCAGACAGAGAGTGGAGTGGGGAGTTTGGCGGTGCTGGAAGGGGCTGGATGCTGAGCAGCACAGCTCCCCAACGAAAGTCTGAGCACGAGGTGCTCCCCTACCCTGAACTAGCCAAAGTGGCTGGCAAGATGCGGACATCACCCGTAGCCACTTACACGCTGTGCTGGCACAGCCGGGGTCCCCCGCGGCAGGGCAGCACGTCCTGGGCTGCCAAACCCGAGGCCAAAGTGATATTGGGGTGGTGACCCCGAGCAGCCCCTTGGTGCTTGAGAACGTCAGAATCCCAGGAAAAGAAAGAAATCGTTGGCAGCTGGAGATACCGTCCCTGCCTCCAAGCATCTGGTGTGGCTTTGCGATCAGGTGTGCCTCTTTTAAGGGGTGGTTTTTCTCTTGTGTAAGAGACTTGCGTGAACTCAGAGGAAGCAGGCTCACTGGGGACGCGGTGGAATCGATGGTGCTTTCAGTTACACATGGGAAATTGAAAAACCAAAGTGCCAGCTCCAGCCCAGTTGCAGGCACGGAGAGGGGTGAGGAGTTTGGGCATGGCAGGGGCCGGGAGCAGGGCTGGTGGCTGCAACGGGAGCGCAGGGCGGGTGGGGGGCTCACACACCCTCAGCTCATGTGCTTGGGGTGCCCCAAATCATGAGCTGGGGGAATGGGACAAACGGGAAACTGCTCCTGCTGAGCGCCTCTCTCTGCCTTCCCCTCCCCAGTGTGACCAGTACAAGAAAGGAATCATTTCTGGCTCCACATGCAAAGACCTGTGCGAGGAGCGCAGCCTCCTCTTCCAGCACTGCCTCTCCTCCTCTCCCACCCAGCAGGTAGGTCTCTGCCCCGCCGGGGAAACCACCGCAGGGTAGGGGATGGGTGCGAGCATCAAACCCAGGCAGTGTCCTGTCCTCCTCCACCCACCCACGTGTCTCCTCCTCACCCTCTCCCCGGTACCCACCCCGAACCGAAGCAGAAGCCAGCTCTCTGCTGTTTTCTCCTCCCATCTCCGCCGTGTCCCCTCTCCTCTGCTGTAGGTTTACAGCGGGCTCTGGAGGGAGAGGGAGGTGATCATCAAATGCGGTATCGAAGAAGCCTTGAAGGCAGACAACCACCCCGACTCTGTGCCCCGGAGGGACGTGGTCCTCTTCGACAAACCGACACGAGGGACGTCGATGGATGAGTTCAAAGAAATGCTCCTCAACTTCCTGAAGGTCAGCGCGGAGGGTCCCTCCGGGAGCCTGCGGGCCTGGGGTGCCACTTGTCAGTTGGAGAGACGAATCACGTCTTTCCTTCCCCTTAAACGAGAGCTCCCCTGGCCCATCGGGTGCTGGGCAGGGCTCCTTACCACCTACTGCAGACCAAGTACAGGATTAGCTGAGCAAAACCTCCATTCTCACACAGGAATTCTTATTTATAAGGTTGTGGTAGCAGCAACCCGGGAGGCCGCTGTCCCACGGCTGCGGGTGGGATCTGTGGTGGCCAGAGCTTATTCACAAGCCCACGGGTGGCCCTGGCAGCCTTTGCTCTCCCGAGTTTGCTCCCGTCCGGCTCTAGAGCAGCCCCGAGGCTGGTAAAATTCTGCTGGAGCTGAAGCCATCCAACCATACGCAACGGTATTTGCTCGAGCGCGGTGGCTGTTGCCTCCTCTCCCAACCTCTTACGGTTGGACTCACAAAGGTCTTTTCCAACCTAAGTGATTCTGTGTTTTTATGACTCTAAGCTCAGTTCTTTGCTTCCCCACTTCAGTTTCGTGATACGAAGCCTGAACGCAGCTGCAAGGGTCTGATGCCGCTTCTTGTTCTGTTTGCAGTCCAAGCTGGGAGACCAGCCTTCTCTTGCAGCCTTGGTGAGCCGGATCATCGCCATGGCCGATGTGAACCGGGATGGGAAAGTGTCTTTAGCAGAGGCCAAATCCATCTGGGCGCTACTTCAGCTCAATGAGTTTCTTCTCATGCTCTCCTTGCACGAGAAAGAGCATACTTCGAAACTTCTGGGGCACTGCGGGGACCTCTACGTCACGGAGAAGATCCCCCACACCTCCCTCTACGGAGTGGACGTCCCCCCCTTCCTCCAGTCGCTGCTGCCTTCAGTCGTCCACCAAATCATCCACCAGTGGTTCGCACCAGCGTGGCCGCGGCGGGCAAAGATCGCCATCGGCCTTCTGGAGTTCGTGGAGGAGATCTTCCACGGGACCTACGGGAACTTCTACATCTGCGAGGCCAGCTCGAGCAACGTGGGCTACAACGACAAATACGACTTCAAAATGGTCAACCTGAGGAAGGTGGCGACGGAGATGACAATCAGGGGGTTCCTCAAGGGACGTCACTGTGAGCAGAACGTGGACTGCACCTACGGGAAGGACTGCGTGGCGACGTGTGACAAACTCATGAAGCAGTGCAAAAGCGACGTGGTGCAGCCCAACCTGGCGAAGGCCTGCAGGTTGCTGCAGGACTACTTGCTGTACGGAGCACCGCTGGAGCTGAGAGAAGAGCTGCAGAAACAGCTCCGAACTTGCATGACCCTCAGTGGCCTGGCCAGCCAGATGGAAGTCCACCACTCCCTCGTGCTGAACAACCTCAAGACCTTGCTCTGGAAGAAGATTTCAAACACCAAATATTCCTAAAGGGGGGAAGCACGGCCCTGGAGTTTAGAATCTGCAATCCTGGAGTAAAGTCCGAGGGTTAAAGGCCTCTTTCTCCATCCTCTCCCCCAACAGGATCAAAACACCCTGCACGGGGAGTTCAGCATAGCTGCAGCCCCTTCTCCTTCATGGGAAACCAAGCGTCATGACTTCCACCGCCCAGCAGGATCATGGATACAGTCGGCAAGAGCGTGCTGCAGGGCTGGGACACGGGGAGCCGGGTGGAACAGGCGTGGGGGAAGAAGATGACACGGGAAGCGGTAAGGAAGCGGAGCCCAGCTGGACGCATCTAACTGTTTCTTGATTAACAGGAAAGCCGTGCAGAGAGCTGAGAATGAATCATTCATGCTGTACTTGTCACATCTTCTTTTGATGAACGTCTCTGATGTAAATAAATAGCTTTTACGTGAATCACACCAGTACATCAATAGCAAAACAGCAGCCTTTTAAGTACCAGCTTGTTTGTGATCTAAAAAGGAGAAAAAGGTAGATTTCCCTATTCAGAAGTCTCTCCTTAAGTGTCTGAGTCATCCGCCATCACATCCAGCTGTAGCTTAGGAAGCAGATAAGCTGTCTTTTCCACAGCGGAGAATCCTGGCAATTCTTTCATTCCCTTTTGAAGTGCCTGACCCCAGACAGCGATGCGATGGCGTGTGCGAGGCTCCCCCCCGGCTGCTCCTGCCCGCAGCCCGCGGTTGGCACCACGGGGGCCGCTCCCCCTCGCGTGTCGGCTTTGGAAGCATCTAAGGGCAAGAACAGCTTAAAGGAAAAGGGCTAAACCTGAACAGTTCTGACCGGTTAACATACGTGCCCCACGTGTTGCTTCCCACAGTACTCAGAGCAGGGATAAACCAGCCTCTTGGTTTAATTCCCCTAAAACTAAGCTGGTCTTACGCTGCAGAGGTTAAAGATTAACACCAGAATAACCCAGTGTTTCTCTCATCATTAAAACGAATTTCCAGGCAAGCTTTGAGCAGGTTTCAAGACATTTGTTTGGCTGTGACATAACTACCTTCTGTTTCCTTTCAGTGCACAGTTACAGCAACCTTTTAAAACTACAGGTAGAGAGGAAGAGTTTGTGTAAACTACCCTGAGCTTGCTCTGTTCCCAGCACAGTCGTACTCCTGCTGATGGACCATATGCTGGTGCTCTTGCCAACAACTGCTTAGTGAAGTGGACCGTATATCTGAAGTACAATCACAAAGAAAAAAAAAGTCCATCTGACAGTACGTATCGCCTGTGACGGCAAGCGGTAGTGTCATGGCTGAAATTTATGAGCCCTTTGGAGGAGATACCAATATTTCCTTCTATTAGTTCTATAGGATCATTACCTCTCGCTATTATTTATGGAGGAGATGTTTCAGTGTCAGCAGTGCTCTAAATCTAGCACGGAGCCAGCACAGCTCACTCCCCACAGAGGAGTTGGCTCCGCAACGTAATTCATCTGTGGTAAGGCCGAGCACTTGTGGCAAGTTCCTCAGCCCGGTGGAGTCACCCTTAATTCCATCAAACACCACAAAGACGGGCAGGGACCCTGCCAGACACGTGCTGGGGTGCAGGTTCACCCGCACAGGAGCTTTTGGGGGGGGGGGGGGCGAAGGCGAGGGCTGGAAGTCACTAATGAGGCTCCACGCAGCCACCCCAGCTCCTCATCTATTGTCCTGCATTCCCATGGCAACCAGCTCCACTGAAAAATTATTTTTCTTCTGCCATTAGAAAAAGGAACCGAACAACCACGCCAAATCCTCTCCTCAGATTTTCAGGAAAGCCATTTTTCACCCTACCCTGTGTTTAGGAGATGTACTAGTTAATTTTCTCTAGATCAGCAGCGCTCCCACCACACTCTATCCCCGCTGCTCCCTTCCCCAAAAGCAGTAGTGGATAACGGTGGAGGAAAATCACCATCTTCCTTACTTAGCCACATAATCCTAAATACCAGAATCCCTTTAAGCATTTACATTGAAAGATGAAGTTCAAGAAGGGCAGCTCCTGTACTTTAAAGCACTAGCCAAGATAGCTTTGTTCCAATAAAGACACTTCTGAAAAGAACTGTCACATTACGACATTATTCACCTGCCCAGCCCAGGAATCCCTCGCCCCAAGAGCACTGAGCTTTGTTCATCACTAAGAAAAAGCACAACTGTTTTTAGACACGTGCTTATGGTTCAACAAGCTGCACTGCAGCATGGGAGAAAAATGACTGAAGGCAAAACTATTTTACACTCATGCCTTCTCCAGATTTCCCACATTAGATGAAAAAAGGGGGAAAGCCAGAACATGGAAAGACTGACAATCTGATTTCCCCAGATGCTGCCGTTAGCAAAGATTTATACCATAAGGGGATGGAGGTAAGCAGCAGGATTTACACCTTTCATTGTCTAAAGTTAAAAAACCCTCCTTTCCTAGTTCTCGTTTCCACAAATAAAAGCTTAAATCCTAGAGTGGTAAAAAATTAGTATTACTTGGGAGTGCTACAAATACACAAGCACAGTAATTTCAGACTTATTGTAGTTGGCATCTTTATTTAGTGTTTGTGTTTTTTTTTTTTTTTTTTTTTTTTTTTTAATCCTTCTTAACCATGTAGAGAAAACAGATCCAAACAACAGTGCTTTGGAATATGGCTGTGAAAACAGCACATGAGCCGAGATGACTCAGAGAAGGGCAAGCTTACAATTCTTGCAGCTTTCAACAGCAGTAAAGGAACAAAAGCAGAAAGGACACTTAGGAGCAGAACAGCTCCAAGTTTTTTTTTTTTAAACTGACATTCAAGTACACAGGCTGAGGCAAACAATCAGAACCACAAACAGCATCGCACGCACTCCGAGTGGCTGCGGAGTGCTCAAACCCATGTATGAGAAAAGGTCAAGTTTTAGGAGTCTACAAATCTTCGAGTGCAGACGCTGCCACCTGTTTCTCTTGCTGTAGCCAAGTTTGCTAGAAAATTCTAAAACCCAAGGCATGATCTGCAAATAAAAAAAGGCCCAGGACGTTAAGACAACTTCAAATACAGCCAGTAAAAGTCAGTGATAAGTGTCAATACTAAAAGGCTCATTAATCCATACCATCCAGACTCCTGCTGTTCACTCTGGGACAGTTCCTGAGCTCAGGCACTGCAGCTAGTCAGGACAGAGAATTGCTTTTCATTTCAGAGGCAACATTTTCAGCTAATTGAAGAACTACATCAAGGTTTGTCTTGGGACTGTCCAAAGATTTTTTTTTTTTTACATCCCAAAGGAAATAAAAAAAAAAAGCATCATAAAATGAAACTAAATTTTAGGGAACTCATTAACGGGGCTCAATTATGATGATTCCCAGGGAAACTTCAGAAAGCAATTTACTTCAGTCCGGAACCACAGGAACACTGTGACTTGCACCAGCTCTATTCACTGCAGTCAGAGGAAGCCAAGTGCCTGCAAACTTGTGTGGATCAGGGCCACACAGTGCGACACGAGTCAGAGGACAGAAGGCAGATGGCACTAATACATGGGACTAATTTAGGAGAGGTTCTTTGCCACTAGATCAGAAAGGTTTTGAAAAAAAATCTGGCTAGGCACAGTGCACTCTGGTGAGTCTAGGAAGGGGATAATTTAACAGCACAATAGCTGGAATCTGCTCTTGGTTACTCTTTCACTCTTTGGCTCCCTAAAAATCAAAGGTGAGTTTGCCAACCTCAGTTCAGAGACAAGCTATTAAAAGTGCAGAGAAAAAAAAAGCTGGGCTTATTCCAGTGTTCAAAGCCATGACATAAACCAGTTCTAAATGATGAAGGGCTAAGTCAATGTGCAAAAAGATTTTTAATTTCTCTCACACCCACTTTAATACAAAATATTAATCTTTTCCACAGCTGAGAGCCAGGTAATTCTTTCAGCAAATCTATATTAATAGCCTGGGATTGATGCTTAGTCTTGGGAAGATGGTTAATAACAACTGCTATTAGGAAAATTTTAACAGCTATCCTATGCCTCACACAGTAAAGTTCTAAAGAGAGACTCATTAGGCACTCACCACCCCTACAGGACCCTTGAGAGGAGTAAAGTATGATGAAAAAACTCAAATATGTATTTCAGGGTTAAAAGTCAAGAAATTTAAATAGCAGAGTCACCTCTTGAGGCGTGTCTCCTTGCATAACCATATCCCCAACAACCTTATTAGCATTCTTTTCCAAAGTCACTGGTGGGAGGCAGTGACTTTTCCCAATTAAATGGCTCATTTTGCAGCCAGCAGCTACCCGCTTGGTTAAAGGCACCTTTGGCCCTCCTAATGCCCATTTAATGAGGACATTTTCCACCATTTAGCACTGCCAGATTTTGACAAGCTATTAGTCACTGCAAAGCCTCTTAGAATTTCACAATACTATCTATGTGTGGCCAGAGCTTCTCTCACCACTCAACACTGGCACAGCAGAGGCTCATGTACACCCCATCACCCAAGAAAGGACAGTGACACACAGAGCTATTAGGATTTATTGATACCTGGGCTCTTCAGCAGCTCACTGTGCTAGAGGTCAAGTTCCTTTGCCATCGTGCTAGCACATACAGAAACCAACTAAAGTCACATTGTGCGCAGTTATATTTTTGCTGTCTGCCATGTTACCACCTAGAACTTGATGCACAAGGAAACCAGACCTTGGATTGGGAAATGGCAAAGCATTCCTCTGCTGGATTTACTGCAAGTTCGTTTAGGACTTTGAAAAGACTTCAGGTTTTAGCATTATTTTTTTTCTTGGATTACTGAAATCAATTATTTCTTTCTTCGTTATGCCTAAGACATTATCTTGCACATCTGTGACAAATATTTTTTCATGTGCATTTTGTGTAGTAATACCAGAGCCTGTTTTGATCTCAGGCATTCTAATATATGTGAAAGTAAGCTCTCAACAAAAGTGTCTTGTTCTGACAGCTGCCCTTAAAAGGATGTGCTTTGGGAGCTGAGAAAGGCAGTTTGAAATAAAAAAGGTGATCAGAACAGTTTAAGATTGCTTACAAAAATTACTGCATTAGCAAAACAGAGGAACCTGAAAGCACTCCACTCAAAGTAGAGATTTATCAGTGAGAGATGAAAAAATACTGAATGTTAAGTTCTTTTTGAAGTATGCACTAGTAGCATTTTTTGTCATTTTTTTTATTTGTCTGTATCCTGTAAGGCAGAAGGACAAGATGTACCAACCCAAGGACTTCTACCCAGTCACTGACTGTTTTGGTAACACATTGAGGTTTAAAATGTTTCCAAGAAATGACACAATACCTACCTTCAACATCTGAAGCAACTTCCTGAACTCAGTCCTGTTCTCTAAGTAAGAAGGAAAAAGATCTTCAGTTTGGGTTTTCTGGGGGAAAGAGTTGCTCTGGGTTTGTTTGTTTTGTTCCATCCCGCCCCCACGCCCAAAAGCAAGCACAATTATAAAGCTGCATTTCAGAAGACTCCAGATTGCATTTTGTGGTCAAAGTTACTCAGCACCCTTGGAAGTCAAGATGTTGTTGGCTGAGGGTTCCCTCCATATGCCAAATCCACACCCAACCATTTCTAGATCATGCCATACTTTGGAAACAACAAACTTAAATGCCAGTTTCCCCCATCACCTCTACTCCCAAGTGCAATTCTCAGTATCTACATAATACTAAACCCTGCAAAACTCAAGAAGTGCCCTTTCACAGGCAGAACAGGCAGTGAGCAACAATGTCTTGCAGGCCATAAAGGACTGTTGAAAACAAAAATAGAATTCAAGGAGAGAGCTGTCACTTCTATTTGTCCTTGAAAAAAAGAAAAAGGAAGTACATTTCCCTGATGCAGTTAACATTGGCATAATTTTCAAAGGAATTTTTCTCCATCTTTCACCGATTCTCTGGAGAAAGAGGTAAGCATGGTAACAGTGTCAAGCTGCTGATCTCTGAGCAGTTACAGCCTTCAGACACAGGAAGCTCCTGCATCTCTGACCCCTAATGATATTAACATATCAGGAGAATAAACCTCCAAGCACTTAGGACTGTTAGAATAAAAGAATACTGGAGTTTGCCATACTGCCGTAACGATAAGAGGTGATATGCAAGAAACCTGGATTAGCTTTTAACACAGCATGTTAGTAAAACATGGAAGTTCTCTGCTGTCACGTTCTATGTTTAGAAGTCAGTCACACCTCTTATCTGTCACATAAACAAGGTATTTGTTATGAGAATGACTGTCTGCCACACTGAAGGACAGGGCTAGCTGCTGAACCCTGTCCCATGACAGCTGACCTTCATGTATTAAAATTAGCATTAAAGAGAAAAAACAGGAAAAGCAATAAATAATTGTCAGGTTGGTCATCATTCCTGAGTGCTCACAGGTTTCAGAGCACTAGCAAAGACACAGCCTTTTCCTCTCTGCCACCTAATGACACAAACATGGCACTACAGCCACATCTGCAACACGAGCTGGGGCATGGAGTATTCAACAGGGGAACACGCATCCACTGCTGCTCACCTCAGGTCTTTGGGACCTCCTGGGTCTGCCACATCACAATGCTTTCTCTGAAAAATAAGTGGAAAATATATACAGCATTTATTTTATATAGACATGCTTCAAAGCCTGCTTATATTTCAAGAAGGACAAATTTGAAAGGCCCAGCAGGAGAGGGAAGCTAAAGAAATAAATGGGTAGCACAGGCGTAATTTTATTTTCAGACAGGCATAGTGTCAGGGCTGCCAGCATGTGATCCCAGTGATGTCACCAACTTGCCACATGGCTTTACACAGATGACTTCAAGTCATTCTGCAATAAAAGTCTAAATACCCACAGGATCCATTCTCAAGGCCAAATAATCAGAAAGTTATGTACAGCCCCTCTGCTGCACATCCACTACAGGTCCAACATACCACGCTTCTAGTTTATTACCTGCAGATCTCACATTTAAGGCAATTTAAAAAAAATAGGAAAGGCTTAGTTTCTCAAGAGTCTCCTATTAACCAGCCTATTTATAAATGATGTCAGGCTATCAATCACTCTGAGTGCTCACGGGTTTCAGAACAAAAGAGCGTAGAACATAGCCTGTCCCTCTCTGCCACCTAATGACACAAAGGTGCCACAGCAGCCACCTTTGCAACGCCAGTGGCAGGTTGAAAAAAAAATCAGAGACTGAAAAAGGAGATAGTTACAGGTCTTTAAAAACACGATTGCATCACCTGCTCAGAAAGTGGTATTACAAAGGCATTTTGTGCATGTGCAGATACTAAATGTAGCACACCACTTAAGAGTTAACAAGGCGGCTGAAGGACAACAGCCTTTTCGTTAAGCACCACTTACCCTCAATTCTTCAAGGCAGGAAGTCTTTTTCACTTCACCTTTTGTCTTCTGCCAGGCTGAAAACAGACAAATAAAAAGAAAAATGCAGTTGATAACAAAAAAAAGCATGTAGCTGATTGCATAATCTTCCTTGTGACCTGCACCACTTAATAGAAAACCAAAATATTAAAACGTAATTAAAAAAAATTTAAATAGCTTGCTGATTAGATTCACTTTAGCCCGTCAAATCTTTAAAACCATTTCCCTCAGAACCGGAAAAGCTGGCAGCCCTCTATTTTCTCCCCTCCTTCACTGGAAGCACAGCTGTGTTTACCTTAATCCTAGAACCTTCCTATACATTATTTATACGACACCCGAGCTCGGCAGCGCCTCTAGCAAACGCAGTGGGGGACGGGACCCAGGGGACCTGCGGGTCTGTCCCCCCCAGTGTCTGGCCACGTGGCTGAGGGGAGGGGGCACATTCTGACCCGTTTGAGGCCCCAAAAGCTGGGGAAGGGGAGCAGGCAAGGCTGGGGACTAACGCCCGATTTTCCGGGGGGGAAGGGGGGGGGGTGTCACCCAGAGCAGCGCCTCGCAGCAGGCAGCCCACCCAGCTCACCTCCAGGGGCACCTTCCTCCTCCTCGCCCCGCACAGGGGGGTCCGCCGGGGCCCAGCCATGTCCTCACGCCGCCGTTTTCCCTCGTTCAGCGACGGGGCGGATGGAAACGACGGCGGCCCTGAAGAAGCGCCGCCACAACATGGCGCGGGAAAAGGCACCTCGGGGAGAGCGGCCGGCGCGGGCCTCGCTCACCCGCCCCTGCCCGCGCTCCCTTCTCCCCGCCGGGACGGAGGTCGCGGCCAGGAGGAAGAGAGGAAGGAAGGAAGGAAGGGAGGAAGGAAGGGCCGGAGACAGGACGGAGGGAGCCCGGTCCCGCTCCGCGCAGGGAGCGGCCTCCCGCCGGTGCTGACCCCGCCGAAAAGGCCGCAACGCTCCCGCCTTCCGCTTATATAGGGCGGGGGGGGGGGGGGGGGGGCGGGGGCGGCGTGTCCCCGTCCCGCGAGCGCCCCCTGCTGGGCGGGAGGACGCAGAACAGCGAGAGGGCGGGTACACGGACAGGGACACGGGACACGGGACGGGGACAGGGACACAGACAGGGTCACGGGACAGGGACAGGGACACTGGACACGGGACGGGGATGGGGACATGGGACAGGGACATGGCTGGGGACACGGGACCCGGACACGGCTGGGGATACGGGACGGGGACATGGCTGGGGACACGGGATGGGGACACGGCTGGGGATATGGGACGGGGACATGGCTGGGGACACGGGACGGGGACATGGCTGGGGACACGGGACGGGGACATGGCTGGGGACACGGGACCCGGACACGGCTGGGGATATGGGACGGGGACATGGCTGGGGACATGGGACAGGGACGGGGATGCGGACACAGAACACGGATGGGGAGAGGGATGGGAATGTGGACAGGGACAAAGGACACAGTACAGGGACGGGGACACGGGACATGGGACAGGAACGGGGACACAGGATGCAGGACAGGGACCCCCCCAGCCTCTGCCATGCTGGGCCTGACCCCCACTGCCGCAGGGCTGCCCCACGCCCTCCCACTGAGACGTGAGGTGCCCCAGGGGCTGGATTTCCCCTTTCCCAGCTGCGCCCTGCGGTGCCCAGCTCCCCAGGGCGGCGGCAGTGTTGGACCCTGGGCCAAAATGGGGACCCGCCAACCGGCCTGCAACGCCCCGAGGGTCCCCAGGTAGGGAACACCCATCACCCCTTCGCCCCCACATCCCTTGACCGTAAAGATTTGCCAGAGACTCCACCTTCCCCTTTCAGAAAGGAAGAAAGAGAAAGGATCATGGCGGGGGGAGCCCTTTATTTGTCAAGAAGAAGCGCGAGATACAAGTGGTTTCATGAGATACAAGTGGTTTCACGTGAGGTCACAAGCTCAGGAATGAGGAGGTGACAGGACAAGGGCACCTCCCTCCAACAGGGACAAACACAAGGACAGGAGCTGGGTCTGGCCCGGCCCCACCTCCCTTTGTGTCGCACCAGACAATTTATTTTGTTTTAGAGACCCTCTTGGCAGCTGTGAGCGCTGCAGGATCGTCGGGGGGGCATGTCCCTTCCCCAACCAGCCCAGCTCTGCCGAAAGGTGGTGCTCAGGGCGCAGGATCAGTCCCGCAGCGCCCGCGGGAGCGGAGCAGGATGCCTGTCACCGAGCTGCTGGGCACGGCCGAGCCTGTCCCCCGGGGCTCTAATTGCCCTTGGCTTTGCTCCGCAGCTCCTCGAAGACCTCGCTCTGCCGCCTCTTCTCCTTGGCGCGGGTGATGGTCATCCTGAAGAGCTTGCAGTAGAGCTCCATGGCGGTGGGGCTGTCGTCGTTCCCGGGGATCGGGTAGGTGATCAAACAGGGGTTGCAGTTCGTGTCCACCACCCCCACCGTGGGGATGTTCATCTTGGCAGCATCCCGGATGGCCACGTGGGGCTCAAAGACATTGTTGAGGCTGCTGAGGAAGATGAGGAGGTCGGGCAAGCGGATGCCAGACCCAAACTGGATGTGGGTGTTGGTGAGCAGGCCGCCCTGCCAGTAACGGGTGTGGGCGTACTCCCCGCACTCCCGCACCGTGCTCTCGATCAGGTGGCAGAACTGGCGCTTGCGGCTGACGAAGAGGATGATGCCCTTGCGGTAGGCGATGTGGGCGGTGAAGTTGAGGGCCAGCTGGAGATGCTGCATGGTCTGATCCAAGTCGATGATGTCTTGATCCAGGCGGCAGCCGAAGATGTAGGGCTCCATGAACCTGCAGGGAGAGAGGGAGGGCGACGGCGAGGGGACACGGGGACGGGGTGCTACAGGCATCGAGCAGCGTTTCTGAACGTGGCGTGGACCCACAGAAACCCTCCCACGCTCCAACTCCCAGCAGACGCCGGCGGTGCCCTCTGCAGAGCTCCCTCGTGCCCAGAGCCTGTCCCAGCCAGGCTCAGGGCGCTGCCGGTCTCACACCCCACTCAGTGCCCACGCTGAGTGGGGTCCCTGTACTTCTGCAGGGCAGTAAGGATGCCCAGGCAGAAGCGTGGGTCTGCGTGGGTATCTCCAGACCCAGACCAATCTAGTGCAGCCCCCAAAGGGTGACACGGTCTAGGGAAACACTCCTGATGTCAACAAGCGTTGGATCATGAAAGTCACTCACCTATGCCGACATCCCTTTTTGTGCCCCAGGTGCACCCGAGCATCAAAGAGATCTTTCAGGGAGAAAAGCTCCTTCACGTTGAAGAAGTCAGGGTGGTTGAGAGGTGCGGACAGCAGCTTGTCATCCTCAGCTGAGAGAAAAAAAGAAAAAAAAAAAAAAAAAATCACTAGTCCCTCTTGTGTTCGCAGGGGATGAACCGAGAGTGGAGAAAGGGCCCTGATGGCCACTTAACTGCAACAAGGGCACGGCGACACCAGCAAGGGCATTGCTCATCGCCTGGCCCCGGCAGTGCCAGGGGTGCAGGGGCCCGGCTCGGAGGACCCCCCCCCCCGTTTTCCCCAGGGAAGGGGCCGGGACGCTGCAGTACTCACCGCTGGGCCGGGCCGCCGCCGGGGCCGGTACACTGCTGCGGAACCGGGGGGCTGCTGCGGGGACAGAAACACGGAGCGGGGATGGCGGGGCTCGGACGAGCGGGCCGGGCCCGGGTGGGGTGGGGTGGGCACGACCCGCTCACCTGCCCGCAGGAGCCGCGGCACCGCCATGCCCCGTGCCCGGCGGGAGGAGGAGGAGGAGGAGGAGGAGGAGGAGGAGGAGGAAGGTCAAGCGGCGCCTTCCGCTTCCTGCGGGGCGCGGAGCGATCGCTGCCCGCCCGCCGCGTCTCGTCGCCGGGTAACGCGCGGCCCCTCGGCCCGGTCCCGGCCCCCATGGGCAGCCCCGCTCCCCGCACCAGCGACTGGTACCGCACCAGCCCCGGCTTGCCCCCCCGTTTCCAGCAGCCCGCCTGCTTCCGCGGATACGGGTGAGCGCGGCCCCCAGCCCCCCCGGGCTGCGACCCCCCGCCCCGCGGATCCCCCCCCCCCCCCCCCCCGGCAGCCCCGCTCCCCACTTTTCTCTGCTCTCCCCCCCCCCCCCCCCGCAGGAAGCCGGAGCCTCACCCCCGGTACCGCACCACCAACCAGGCCTACGGCAGCAAAGCCCCCACGGTGCATGAGGTGCCGGTAGGTAGGAGGGGTGCGGGGTGACGGGGGCTCCCCCCGGGTTTGGGGGGGGGGGGGTGTCGTTCAGAGACGGGGTCGCACAGCTTTGGCGTCTGCACCAGCCCCCCGGCAGCAAACTCCCCAAAGCAGATGAAGTGCCCTTATGGTTGCACCCGAGCTCCTGTGCGTGGCAGGCGCTATGGGTGGTGGCGTTTAAAGCACCTTCCTCCCCCTTTTCTCGCCCTCGCAGACCTCCTTCCACGTCACCTCGCACGCCTTTTCCACTAATCTGGCACAATGTGGCACGTACAGAAATAACGGGCTCAACACCTCACTGGAGAAGAGCCACGTCACCGGCCCGGGCAACTTCATCACCGCCTCTGACCACCTCAACTTCCATCCCAGCTACAACCCCAACGCCCCGTCGTGCTGTTAGATCTGCAGCGGTAGCAATGCCAGCGTGGAGCTGCTTCAGTTCACTGCTGGCTGCCTAGATGAAAACCAAAAAAAAAAAACCAACCCAAAACTAAAAAACCACGAGCAAGCAAACAGCAGCACTGACCTTATCCTAAATCTCTTGCTAAGCCTTGTCTGAAAGCAGGACAGGAGGCACTACACCATTGCAGTGTGGCCTGTAACCTCGTTTGGCAGCTATTTCATCACAAATAAAGCAGGTTTCTATTTCTATGTGCCATCAAGTTGGGATGGGGGACTCTCATTAGAGCCCTTGGCTACAGGTCACCTCTCCTGAGCGCGGACCTGGGACGTCACAGTTGTTATCACTGAGGAGAGTAAAACTCTGGGGACCGTCAGGAAAATAATTCATGTGGCACAATATGCAGCAGCTGATGAACACGCATGCTTCGCAGCATTAACTCTGTAAGTCAGGAGTTAATGAGGATTTTTCTCCTGAACACAGGAAAAAGAAAAATCTTTCAACTTGGCAATGTGAGACTTGCTATTACAATGTGATGAATAGCTACAAAATGAGCAGGTTAAAGGTAGCAGTACATTTCTAAAAATAACCCCCCCAACCCCAACCATACAACAGTTTAACAGGACTGCTACCTAGTTAAGGTCACAAATTTAGCTTTGGGAGAAAAGCAGTTTAGATCTGTGTTATCAAAACTGAGTTCAGTAATTTATTGGGAAAAACACAGCCACTTTGGTACTAGATGAAAATCATTCATTTACAGACTGAATGCTGCTAGCAATAATATCTTAATTTATAGAGATTGAATGTGATTAGACATCAGTTAAATAGCTCATATGAACCATTTAATTTATAGGCAGCATATAGTCACAAATAAAAGAACAATATACACTACATATATATATGTATTCCCTTAACCTTTTCTCTGTTACTAATGGTGCTTTACACTCTTGGCTCCTGCACCACGTATCATTAAAATTTAAGATCTTGAAATTGTTTCTGTACTATTTAATGAAACACCAAACTGCATGTTTTCCAGAGGTATTCATTAAGCCTTTGGATCTCTCGTAGAAAGCTTGTTCATCTTTCTTACCTCCCAAAGCTGCTGTTTTAAGATTATTCAAATAAAGACAACTAATAAAAATGTTTTCTTAGACTTTATTGTAGCAACTGTAGTTACACAGCCAGTGAAACGGCAGCATTTAGACAGTAACTGCACTAAAAGGAACACCTTAGCATGTTTGGCTTAAAAACTAGTCTTGAAAAACTAGTCTGCCCGTTTATGGATGGGAAACCTTACAGGTATAACATAGTCACAGCATATGTTAAAAATGAGCATAATACTATTCTAAATGTTTGCTAAAAATATTTTAAAATTGGTGTAATAGGATGTCCAAGTACCACTGCAAATGAAATTCTTCACGTTAGAAATATTTCCTATTTATGTCATTTCTATATAGTCTCATAAACAGCACAGGAAGCATGACCACATATTTAAACATACCTGCAAGGTAGGTGGATTCTGTTTAGTTAAAGTCACTAAGCAAAAGTCTGAAGTCCAAAACTGAACAGTGTGTCAGGCCTGTACTTGTGCCTTTTTTAAACATTCATACCCCAGCATAGCTACATGTTTCTGGCCCCAACAGCAAAATCTCAATCACACCTATGAAAGAATTCCAGTTTTCACTGCAATGCATTTGGTTATCTCAAACAGAAGAGTAGTTGACTAAATTCACGTTTGCTGAAAACACACCAATACACTGGAACAAGTAAATATACTAAGCAGAAATCGGCCTGACAAGTTAACTTTTAAAATATTTAACATAGGAAAATAAATAACCAACCCTCTATTGTTCCCTGCTATTCTTCTATTAGATTCTAGACAATACCTTGAGCCTCTCATAACTTCCCTTTCTTCTCCTGAAATGAAAAACAACATGAAGTACAGAATTAATATAAACAGTTGTGACAATTTTACATATATTTTTATCCAGATTTTTCTGCAGGTGGAATAATTTAGGGGTAAGACTGCCTCTTAAAAATACACTTTTAGTGGGTTTTGTCACATATTTTCCACCTGTTTTCATACTTCATCTAAAAACACCCACCTCTTTCCTTCTTTGCCTTAATTTCTTCATTTTTTGTTTTATTCTTGAACTGAAACCAGTTCCTTTGAACAGTTTTGCATGCAATGTACCTTATGTCACCCTCATATAGACTGTGTCCTGAGATACTGTACAAATTCAAAATATCATCCTGAAGATGGCACGTTTTACTGCAGATAATCTACCCAAAACAGCCTCTTTCTACTCTTTATTTTGAAAGCGAGATTTTCACATTTGCAGACAAAATTATATGAGGCTGTACTATCAAACCAAGACAAACTGCAGTTCTTAAAGGTTTGAAAAATTAAAAAGCATGTACATTAATAAAAGAAGTGTGTTCCTTCCTTGTATAAAAAGCAGCTACATGTCAAAATGCATCTTTCTAAAATAGCAGCAAAGAACTGTTTATGAAAAATTAAGGTAGTCCTTGTGATCCCCTGAGGGTCCTTGAAGATTGCCCTTCCTGAAGCACACAAAAATAGTCACTGTGATAAAAATAAAACAATATACCTATTTTCAAAGTCCTGGGCGAGCAGATTTGCCTGAGAACTCTGGTATTGCAGTCAGAATGCCATAACTTACCCATAACTATACTAAAATATACCGAGTAGTTTAATAACAGCCAAATGAGCAAGTTTTGTGCTCTGACTGAAAAAAAAAAAAAAAAAATCATTGTGCATTTTTAAAAAGTATAAAAATTAAAAAAACAAAACCCAAAAAACTATTTTACATGCTTGAGTAGACCCAAGCTCATGGTTCCATGCACGTGTCTACTGCAATAGACAAAGGATCAAATTAAAGTCTCAGGAGGGTTGAAATGATGGAAATAGGAGCTTGTTCTGGGCACTCACCAGCACTAGCACCAGCATGCTGAAAAGGGCCAGGAGGGGTGTACAGTCTGTGCCTACTCTACGGTTGGCTGCCTGTTATGATCAGTATCAACAGGAAGAAAGAAATGCTTTTGGTACTGCACCTATCAACATTCAACCTCAAGAGATTCGTACTGCGGTCCCAAACTTGGTACCACACACGTGGGACTCTTCCTCATTAATTTATTCTCACTCAGTATAATCTTTCTACTCCTCAGCTGTTCAACTTTTAATGTGTAATGTGCAAGAGTGATTTCTTACTGCTCCAAGATCCCAGACTTCTCTTTTTTGAATGATTGATGAGACCTGTACCCAGAATGGGGACACTGCCAGCGGAGCCACAGCACTCTTCTTATGGCTGTGGCACCAATTCCTGAGATGCTCATTGACGCACTATTTAGCGTTACATCCCCTGTGGGTGCTTGCTCCTCCTTGGCAAGTCAGCAATTCTCATGGGACAAATTCTGAAAAAGTCACTTGCTGAGACCAAATACAACTGGGAGGACTTGGAGGGAGAAAGGAACACCCACAGCATATTGGTAGAGAAACACCAAATGTGACAGGCTCGTTGGCGTATCTAAGCAGAAGTCTTCCTTTCCACCCTCCCTCCCTCCCTCCTACCCTGAAGAGTCTCCTTGCCTTCTAGAACCTCAGTGCTGGGTGTCACAACATCCCCTGTGAGCAAGAGAGCATGTTCATCCTGCCTCTGCACCATCAAGGGCTCCTACACTCACTACCACTAGTCTTTGATAGCAGAGCAGAAAGGATCATGAGCTAATCCTGGAGGCTGCAGCTGTGCTACAGAGGATGCCATTTAGAGATACAGCGAATGCCTTCCAACCGAATCACCCATCTCACCTGCTAACTGCTGCCTCAAAAACAAGGAACTCCTTTTGCTAAACTTTTGCTGCTAATGGAGAGGGGTAAGCACAAGGAAAGACTCCACTACTTGACTATGAACACCAGGAAAGAAAACTGCTGTTAGGGCTTTGCTAAAATGACAAGCAGCATTCTCACTCCCCAGAATAGCCACAACTCTTTTTGCCTATGTACTTTGTAGATTTTCCTTCTTCAGTTTTTGTTATTAAGAAAAACATTCCCTTAGCCACATCTTTAAAGATGTGGATTCTGTTTCACAGTCACAAGGAAATCACAAGCTGTTGTCACAGTGGAGATGACCATCTCCGACAGTGGGTGGCTGAAAACAATAAGAGACAAGAAGCAAGAGAGGCAGATGAGCTGAGATCCTGTCCCCAGGTTCGGCTAAGCCAAACGCTGTGATCATCTGCAAGGGTGACATCCTTTACTTTCAAACGTTACTGGCACAAGTTAATTACATCTTCGGACTACAGTCAGGAGGGAAAAAAAGATACCACAAAAATACTGCTCACTAAAGACGATGACACAAACCATAGGAGCACTCTTGTTTCACGGTCCATGGTTAGAACCCCATTTATTAAACATTATAAACTCATCAATATACACCATTTCCTATATACAAATCAAGTTTATCAATTTTAAAAAGTGCTGTTTGAAATTAGGTTTTATTTAAAGCACAAGGTAATCAGAATTGCATCTTCATTGAAAGTGAATCAGTTCACGAGTATTACTGAGAATACAGACACATCGACAGGGGCACAAGACATGTTTTAAGTCTTAATGTTCATTTACCAAAAACTTTGAGGAGAAACATTCAGCTTATTTTATACAAACAGTACATAGTGCTTCCATCATCTCTATTAAAATTAAGTATACAGTTTAATCCTTTTAAAGCAAGGTACTCTGAAAACTTCTATTTTAAAATACCAGTCTATTTACCTATTCCAAACAAAAGGCCCAAATCCTGCAACTGAATCAAGGCAGACAAAAATATATGCCTGCGTAGACGGACTGCAGGCACATGAGCTAAGGAAAAAACACTTTTCCAAGGTATTCTACCACAAAAATGAGATGATCTAGCGTACTGATCTTTTAAACAAACCAACCAACCCAAGGACTACAAAAAAGTGGCCGGACAGTAAGAAATGTCAAGTGACCACTACAAACATGTTTAAAATGTAACTGCACAACAGTATAAACACGCAAAGGATGTTGTTTATTTCTCTACATGCCACAGTTACTTGTTCTACTCTATGCTACGCCGTAGTTTGCCAATATTCTGCCAATGCGATCACACCAGGGGACACTGTGTGATACTGGATCCTTTCTCGACTGCTTTTGCTCCATTTTGCAACATTAAGGCTAGCCTCCAGGAAGACTGCTGAAGTGACTGAGAAATAAAGTGATACTGAGTGGTAGTTGGGCTGAGAGAAGCTCTGTAGAAGACTAGATAAAGAGAATATCGGATCAATTCACAGGGACAAGATGTAAGAACAAACTACTCAAAGGACTTCACTACACACAAATGAAAAGGAAAGAACCAGCCAACAGCTTAAATTCACACTTTGGATTTTTCAGTGAAACCTGTGCGCGGGCACTTTTTTTGTGTGATATGAACATGCTACTTCCATCCCATTTAAAGTTAGTACAAATAAAAAAGATAGTAGTGAAAAATTGCTTTATTCTTGTTGCTGAAAACGGAGGCAGAGAAAGCGCTACCAGTATGAAAGAACAGTGCTGAAAATATCCTTGGCATTTACATTAGGAACTTCCTACAGCAAACCTAGCTTTGTTCTATTGCACAAAAATTGTAAATGAAAATAAATGTTCACAGAAATGTAACATTTTAGAAACCACTTTTGAAAAAAGAAAGTAAGGGCACTCAATTCAAGAAAGTTCATTCAGGAAACCAAAAGCCAGCTCTGGGTAACTGCAGGGCATCCAAATGAGACTTGAGAATAACGAGGAATTGTTTCAGCCTTGCAGGCCCAACAGTACATAAATCTAGCGAAATCCACAGAAATCATGTTGTCTGAACAGACACTCTCCTTCACTTTTCTTAAACTGCAATTGTGCTTGGAATCATCTGCTAGCGGGAGGTTTCGGGTATTCAAAAGGTACTTCCAGCAGCTGCTGAGATCACTTTACACAGGACGTGCAGTCAGACCGATCCACTTTATTTACCCGAATTTGCATTTGTATTTTCAAGGATGGGTCTCCACACCTACAGCTGTGCTGACTTCGCTGGAGCTCTGCTTACTGAACTCACCCAACGGTCCGCGGGGTGGGAG